CCTTTTGAGATAGGGTTTCAAACTTGCTGGACTCCCAGGCTGGCCTCGAAATTGCTATGTAGCAAAGGATGACCCTGGACTCCTGATCCTCCTGTCTTTACCTCTGGGGTGCTGGGATTACAAATGTACACCACCAAGCCTGGTTTATGTGGTGCTGGAAACTGGAGACGGAAGCAAGAGCCTCATGCATGCTTAGCAAATACTCTTACCAACTGAGCCACATCTCCAGCCCTGGGATGGGTACTTTTTGGTTGTGTTGCTGCTTTGCTGTCTGTCTAAGAATGGTGAATTATTATACAAACAAACAAGCATAACTTTTAAAAAAAAATGATGTCATGCCTTCTTTTTTCTACTTTCAAGTTTACTAAAAAAAAGCCACCTAAAATTTGTGTGTGTGTGTGTGTGTGTGTATAGATAGATAGATAGATAGATAGATAGATAGATAGACAGACAGACAGACACAGACAGACAGACAGACAGACAGATAGATAGATAGATAGATAGATAGATAGATAGATAGATAAATAGATAGAGAGTTCTATTTTTAAATATGTTTGATACATCCAGAAATAGAACATACAAAGTTCTCTTAATTTTTTTTTTTTCCCTACAGATAAGAAGCCAATGGCCTCAACAGCATTCCTGGCTGGCGACTATTCAGTTTTGTTTCCATATAATATACCTATTTTGTTGATAACCAAATTATTCATTCACTTGGGTCCATTTCTAGTCTATAGGCATATTTCTGTTCAACTGAAATTTTAACACCTTAAAACAATTTCTTTTCTTAAGAGGGTTTGAGTATAAATTAGAATGATTTTAAGTATGCCAGAGATCACTTTAAGGTTTCACAATTTCAAAACACAATTGTCTTGTTTTCTTAATGTCACACAATGGATTTTCTTCATCAAAGAACAAATGAAAATGTTAATACTACCCTGGAAACTTTGAGCTCCATTTCTAGATGAGAGCACATTTAAGAAGATCCGTAGTCTGGCAGCTAGAGTTAAATCAAAGCTTTACTACCAGACATACAACATGTTGCATAATTTCTTTTGGCTTACTTTCTCATCTGTAAAATGGAAATAATGCCAGGCAAAGCCTACAGACGCTCAAAGGAGACAGGCAGTGTTGCCTGACACTGCAGATGCTCAACAAATGACAGTCCAGTGCCACCAGGCTAGCCTTCAAGGAAAGGAAGATCAGCATCGAAGACTTTGCCTCTTACCTGAGATTTCGCAGTGAGTGCAAGAGAGTGGTAACCACCTGCCTCCAGCTGGATTACCTCTTTACCATCCAGACACTTCACACACAGGGGCTGAAGCCTTAAAGAAAAACATACGCAAAGTCAAAGTATTTTCAGCGTGAATCAAGGCCTTACACAGTCAGTGCTGTCAAGTAAAAATAAAATGTTAAAAATAATGGGCATTCGTTCAAACTACTCTAAATATTATAACTAATTTTTGTTAGTTTTAAATTAAGCTTTGTCTATCATCACTAATTAACCCCCTGTAATTCACAATCTGTTAAGAACCATAAAACTAAACTGAGAGTGGTAGCACATGCCTGTAATCCCAGCACTTGGGAGGCTGAGGCAGGAAGATCACTGCAAACCTGAGCCATTCTAGGCTACAAAGTAAAACCCTATCTCAAAAATAAAAACAAATAAAAAATTTAAAACCATAAAACTAGAAATGACTCATCATAGCAGAGAACATACTGGGGACCACAGGGGAGTGAGGTCCTCGTTTTATTTCAGTTGCCTTCACTCTGCTAGGAAGAGACATACTAACCTACTGTTTTAAAAACATTCCATCTACAAACCTCCAAACTTCAAAAAAACCAAATATGTTAATATCCCAAGAGTTATTATAAAATGAAATGACATTTTTTCCTCTGCTGTACAAAGACAGTCATAGTTTAATGTTTCAGGTGGCTAAATAATACAGATAACATCTTTTGGGAGCAAAAACCTGTTGGCTGTCTATGTAAGTTTAAAACTGTAACTCTCTGAATGCTTCATTGAAATATTTTCTTTCCCTCAACACCACTTTTCTGCATTCCCAGATAAATATGCATCAAACCAGACCTGGACAAGTGCAGTGTGCATACGCCAGTCCTTTATCATTAGGAACAAACTGAAGACTAAAGTCACAGGTATTTATCAGAGCTAACAGTGCACAGTAATCTGGAGCCAAAAGAGACCTACTTCCTCTGGGAGCAAACAGACATATGGAGACCTCCCCAGGAGAAAGGTGACTTGCCTAAGCCAGTTCCCATTAATAGCTTCTTGTGGCACTCACCTGGGCAAGACATCGCCATGCCCCAGTTGCCCTTCCTTGCCCTTCCCCCAGGTCCACACCTCTGTTCTCAGGGAAGGCAGGAGTGCATCTGCCTCTCCGCTGTATGTGGGGGTCAGAACCACTGTTCTTGTTTTCACCCTTGCAGCCTTTCTTAAGAGCCTGGGGGAAACTGTAAAACAAACCAGGATGGGATGACGGAGTGGGGGACCAAGGAAGAAGATGTAATTTTTTTTTTTTTTTTTTTTTTTTTTTTTTTTTACAGGGTCTCCCTGTAGTCCCAGCGCCACCACACCCAGCTTTTTAAAGGAATCTTTTTGAGGCCACCATTCACTTTCCTACAAATACTTTATCCATTTTACCCATTTTTATTGGTTTAGATCGGGATCAAAGGTGTGTGCCACCATGCCCGGCTGACAACATAATTTTTAAAAGTGAAACATTCAAAGGACTGCACTAATGGTATTTGTGAAGCATACATTAGGTGCTCTACAAAAGAGTGGCTTCATTAGTCAAATGCATTTGGGAAATGCCCCCTACTACATTCCTTCCTGCCTTCCTACCCTGGAGTTGGCTTGCTCAAAGATCTGCAATGAGAAGCCTGTTTAAATGTGTTTAACCTGCCACACTGCCAAACATCTGCCCACAGAACCCATCTGTGTGCAACATCTACCGACATCCTAGAGAACTTATATTCTAAAGAACATGCTGAATACATGGTGGTTCATGCCTATAATTCCCACTGAGGAAAGAGGGAATTTGCTGAGAATTTGAGGTCATCCTGGGTTATAATAGTGAGTTCCAGGCCAGCCTGGGCTATAGTGTAAGATCTGTATCAAGAAAAAAAAAAAAAAGCTACAATAGGGTGAAAAATATCTTTCCCATTTCAAAACAGAGAAGCTAACGCTTTCCAAGACAAGCTGTAAATTCAAACACATAACTGTAATAATGCATTCATTTTAAGACACAAAAATTTAAATTTCTATGGTAGGAAAAAGCTTATGAAATGGAAGTTTTAAAGTGCTTTTACAGTCAGGCATGGTGGCACATGCCTTTAGCCCCAGCATTCGGGTGCTCCCAGCATTTAAGAGTTCAAGGTCAGCCTGGTCTACACAGCAAGTCCCAGACCAACTAATAGTGAGACCCTATCTCAAAAAATAAAAACAAAACAAAACAAAAAAGTGTTTACATATTTTGGGTTATTTTGCAGGTTAAGGACTTTTTTATTGCTAATCTTTTGAAAGAATGCTATTATCATAGGGTTGAAAATTGAAAATAACAAACACAAATAACACTGCAAATCTCACATGTCCATTTGATAGCAGGACAAATTGTAAAGAAAGCTATGAAATAAAGAACTGATGTTATACTCTATAATTATTTCTGAAGCAAAGAAATATGTGGCTTTCTTTTAAAACCATCCTTTTAGCAAACTATCATATAAACTTTGGTGTCTGAATATGCCAGCTTCAATAATTAGGAAAACAAATCAGCTATAATACAGCCTGTGATGGCGGGAGCATCTAGAATTCACCAGAAGTCAACTCACCAAAGCCTTACCTTGGGACAACAATCCTGGGAGGGAGAGTCTTCGACTGCCTCCTTCTGACTCTTCCTCTCTGATATCCACAAGACTTGAACTTTTCTTTCCTTGCATTGATTCCTGTTTAACCTGCTCTTCTCTGCTATCTTTCAGACCTTCTGGGCCTATGGAACTACTGCCTGGCTGAGCTCCAGTTTCACATGGGGCTGTGCTATAAAAGTTCATAACTTTCTTAAGAGACAAGGCCCCTGCTTCATATGTGGCAGCCACTCTCACGCCAACAGCAGATGCACAAGAGACCACCAGGCTATTGAGTGCTGAGGTGCTTGTGGTTGGTGGACTGTGAAGATTAGGAACTGCTTCTTCTACAAGAGGCTAAAATATACAAGCATATAAAAACAGTATTCCTCATAAAACAAGCAGTCATTTTTTAAAATGTAATGTTCATAACTATCTGCATTAAAAAATCTAAAACAGACCCCATGTGGTGGTGCATATCTGTAATCCCAGCATTAAGGAGGCTGAGGTGGAAGAATGAGGCCAGCCTGGGCTTCATACCAAGATCCAGGCAGCAACTGAAGTTCTTATCTCCAATCTGAAGACATCCCCTTTTGATCATGAAGTTATTAAATGGAAATGGTAGTTAGAATGGAGCTCTTTAGCTAAAGGGCCTTCTCTTATCTGGGTGCCATTTTTTCTCATGGTATTTAAAATAAGTTGTAGCTGTTTTTATAAAGCTAAACACAGGAGAAGTGGGAAGGGGCATGAAAGTTTGGAGGACACTGGTTTTAGCACTTGGGAGGCTGAGGCAAGAGGGTCTCAAGTTCAGAGCCAGCCTGGGCTTCATAGTGAGACCCTGTCTCAAAAAAACTAAAAAGAAAGAAAAAAGAAAAACACTAGATTTAATACAAGGTACCTTGGATAAAAGGTTAAAAAATATCCAAGCTTAATACTTGATTACTTTTAGGAAAATTTATACTGATTGCTTGCTATTAAGAAGTAAAAGGAGGGGCTAGAGAGATGGCTCAGTGGTTAACACCAATGACTGCTCTTGCAGAGGACCTGGGTTCAATTCCAAGCACTCATATGGCAGCTAAAAACCATCCATAACTTCAGTTCCAGGGGATCTGATGCCTTCTTCTTACCTCCGTGGGCATTGCACGTGGGTGCACTTAAACACATGCAAGCAATACACTCAAACACATAAAAAAATAAAATATTTTTTAAAATATAAAAGGAGAAATAAGATTTAAGAAGGCTTTTTCTCAAACATTTTATAAATGAAAATTTAGATGTAAGATGTATAGGCAGAAAAATGCTACACCTCTGGCCTATTGTCCCCCAAATTTTATGTTCTTCTGCTGTCCCACTAATGAACTATTACCCAACAGCTGGGCATGCTGCAGTAGCTAGATGACCTTTACTCTGGGTAACTGTGACAGGTTAATAATTAAACATCTGGAACTAATGTCCTTACCGTGTTTCTTAGATATATTAGAAAGTTAAAGTTGTCTAATATCAGGGAAAATGGGTTAAAACTATTTTCTAATATCACTGTGTACTAAATGGAAAAGTTATTAAATATTTCTGATAAACACAAAAAAGCTTTCTAGCATAAAAGCATAATAGTACAATGAAAAAAATTCTCAAACCCAAAGATTCCCAAAGGGTATACATATTGTTTCTTAATTTGTCCTGCATTCAAAACCAAATGGATCAGAGCACAGTTGCACAGCTGGAGGTCAGCCTAAGCTACAAAGAAAGACCCTATGTAAATAAATAAATAAACAAATAACACTGGCTTTTGATTTTCTTGACATGTGACATATGGTAAGTACTCAATGTAATTTGTCAAATTAAATATTAAATTCAGAAGAGCTACTTCTGCACAAATGAGTAGTCTGTAAAGTAGTCAGCAGAGTTTTTAAAACTATATACAATTAAAGTCAAGTGCTTCTTTGATTATTTAATTCTGATGGTGACCTGTTCAGAAGAAATAATACTGTGATTTCTACCTTTTGTTTATGAAGGCTCATAACAGATGCAGTGATGGTATATGGGAATGAAAGGCACAAGACTGCCCCTCATATAAGTCCTTAAGCCAGTGTTCTGCACCTATTTTAGATACATGTGTATGTGCACACGCTGAAGGCCTCAGGCATGCAAAGCAAATGCTCTACCACTAAGTTACATTTCTAGCTACTTAATTATATTTAAATGAATACAGTAAGAAAATAGAACAACAAAAAAAAAAGAATGACCAGCAATTTTGATTAAAGACATAATTTTAGGAGTCCCAGTTAACCAATAGTAAAAACAAAACTTTTCTTGATTTCTGTTTGTTTTTGAGACAAAACAAAACCTCACTCTACAGTCCAGAGTGGCCTCAAACTTGAGATCAGCAAAATCAGTTTATTTATAAGCATGTACCGTCTAAGAATTTTCTATAAACATTTTTGATAAATTAATGCTGCTTTGTTTATATTTTTCTAAACAAATTTAGGTTTATTTCACAAAGTGAGAGGCACTTTCAGTTATATCTAGCCAGAAGTATTAAGAAAATAAAACTGTCTTACACCATTTAAATTCTTCATGTGTTGGCTTTATGACTGAAGTATTATTTACAAAGGCTGAGTTAAATTTAATATGAACACACACTACCAAAACTAATATAAGGAAATTAAAGCTTCAAATATTTATCAAAATAAGTTCAAAGGGAAAATACAATTTCTTTTTTTGTTTGTTTGGAAAATACAATTTTAATAGTGGTAATCTGACAGCCAAATAAGCTGTATACAATAAACTTTTCATTTTAAATTTAAGAGAAGAATGACTTCTAAAAAAAACAAACTTTTCTTGATTTCTGTTTGTTTCTGAGACAAAACAAAACCTAACTCTACAGTTCAGAGAGGCCTCAAACTTGAGATCAGCAAAATCAATTTATAAGCATGTACCATCTAAGAATTTTCTACAAACATTTTTGACAAATTAATACTGCTTTGTTTAGATTTTTCTAATACCTTTCCACAAATAGCTTATTCTTAACTTTAAAAAAATCAAATACCAACAAGTTCAGTAAGTAGATGTGAAACAAAGACTATTTCTAAAAATATTTCATGTTCTCATTCTGAGAGAGTAAACAGGAATAAAGAATCCAGAGGTTGTGTGGCTTTAAAAAGCCTGTAGAAGAAAAAGATACCACATGACAGTTCTTTTGTGATTAAATGTTTTTGTTTTCTTTCTTTTTGGTAAAAAAGCAAAATTAAAAGGTCCACTAAGTAAAAATAAAAAATTATCCTTTTAGAATAATCTGTCTAAGCAGGGAGACTCAAACTTTTACTGATAAGCAGCTTCTGTCCATTTTACAAGTTTTCAAATGAGAGTACTTTTTTAAGATAAAGAAAATATCCATCATGTCAAATAATGCTCCACAGGACCACAGTTATAACTGGAAACACACACACACACACACACACACACACACACACACACACACACAGAGTAAATCCCCAAAGTTTCTCCTCTCTCCCTTTCTTCCTTGCCTCCCTCACTTCCCCTCCCCTCCTCTCTCCCCTTCCCTCCCTCCCTCCCTCCCTCCCTTCCTTCCTTCCTTCCTTCCTTCCTTCCTTCCTTTTTTTAATCCTTTTTTTGAGGAAGAGGGGCAGGGTATGAAACAGGGCTGGCCTGCCTGGCCCCAACTAGTCTCAGACTCACAACAATTCTCCTGCCTCAGCCTCCTGAATGCTGGGATTATAGGCATGTGTCACCATGTATGGTAACTAAGTTTTTATATATCTGCTTACAACTGAAGGCTCTGCCACTTGGCCACCTCCCCATTAGAGAAGAAAAGAATTTTACAAAGGAATGGCACCAAACAGTTCAAAAGAATCTTTGTGAACATATCAGTACACTGGCTTTAACTCTAGTGGGGCCTACCAAAATCTAGTACCTTAGCCATGATAGAAAAACACAAGCAAGGAAACAAACAGGATTTGGTTACTTCCAAAGCAAGTCTAGCAAGTTATCTTCCAACATTGTGAGGCACCAGAACTTGAAGATAAGGAGCAATCCTGAATTAATACAGGCTCTTTCCTCATTTAGGCTTTCCTAATAAAATAGAATTATAGATAGCCTTACAAAATAAAAATTGCTGCCACACATTAGTATTTCAGTTCCTAAAGAAAACACAAACACTTCAACTTCAGAAAACCTTTATGCTATAAAATTATGCAGCTACCTGGGCCTGAGGTGGCTTTTCACCATGCTCCAAGTCATCCCTTACTGAATGCTCAGACAGCTTCTGCAGGTACACATTTACTGCCTGGGTGTCAGGGTATGAGGGAGCAGTCCTGGCAGAAGAAATTCCGTCGGTTCCCACAATGCTTTGCCAGGAGGAAATGGCATCACCACTTGTGGTCTGAACACTTTCCATACTCAGTTCAGCTTCTACAAGAGGACTCTCAAACACTTCTCCCTGCCCATCCAAGGTCTCAATGGAGGGGCTGATGGCAGTGCTGGCATGGTTTTCTGCCTGGGATTCTGACAGTGTCACACCCAAAGGGCAGCAGTGGCTGTCTGATATAATCACATGGTCCTCTTTGTCTGTCATAGTGATGAGGAGCTGGCTGCACTGGTTGCATCTTTCGGGGACTGGCTTCAGATCCTGGGGAGGGAGGCACTGCACAAGTGCCATACTGTGGAACGCACCACAGGCAATCTGGAGCACCACTCGCCCGGCAAGGTGCTCTACTTTTTGCGGCTTGGTCACTGGGAAGGAAGTGGTGATAAGACCCAACTGACAACCGGTGCCCCATGCCCAGATCTCTCTGCTGATCGACAATGCCAGCGTGTGTTCCTCACCACATGCCAACTGCAAGATCCTCACTGCTAACAAAGGGCTGGTCTCTGAGTCAGAGATGCTGACAGGACTTGGCTCTGGCACACACTGCTGGTTAGCTATTGCACACTGGCCGGCAGAGTTCTGCCCCCACATGTACACGACCCCACTTTCTGTCACTGCTCCACTGTGGAAGCTCCCTGTTGCCACCGTAACAACATGATGCCCAACCAGGGCACTTTCTAGAATGGGGCTGCTTGGACAAATTTCAGCTGGTTCATTTCTCCAAGGAAGGGTACCAAAGCTGTAGACCTCACCATCTGAAGGTTAAAAAACAGGAAAAAGGAGAGGGTTAGTGAATTAACTAGAAAATTTATCAGCAAGCTTCAAGTCCCCTCCAGATTTAAAACATGGTTTTCAAAAACATTCAAAAGCACAATTGTAGAGATCTGGTACAAGCATACAGCATGTCAGGTTTACTCGTCTTCAACAGTAATATCATTTGGCACCCTGTGTTATACAAGCTGTAGTTTACATAGATCCCTTACTAATAGCTAGTGTAACAGGCTACTTACTACAAAAGCAGACGCCAAACACTCAGAGACAGAATAACAACCATGTGCCATTTCTTCACCTGGCAAACATCCCTGGAGCTCCACACACCACATCAAGTGGCAATGGTGTAAGATGAAATTTTTAATTTGTTTGGTGTTTTGTTTTATGCCAGAAATTGAACCCAGGGCCTTGCCTGTGCTAATCACCCACTGCACCACTGAGCCATACACACATCCCCACCTGTGATGAGTTAGTTTTTTTTTTTGTAACTTTGACACTTAATAACAAGACACTGCTTAAACATGAGAACAACGATCAGCTTTCCCTCAACTGTTCCACCTTTGTATTTTAAATTTTATGTGTACAGATGTTTTGTCTGCATGTATGCGGCAGAGGCCAGAAAAGGGCACTGAATTCCCTAGAACTGGAGTTAGGGACTGTTGTGAGCCACCATGTGAGTACTAGGAATTGAACTCAGATCTTCTGCAAGAACAGCATGTGCTCTTAAATGCTGAGCCATCTCTCCTGTTCCCACTGTCCCATTTTTTAAAAGACAAGTTCTCACTCTGTAGCCCAGGCTGGCCTAGAAGAACTAACCTCTTGGCAGCCAGGTTACCCTCAAACTTGTGGCAATCTTCCTATTTCAGTCTCCCAAGTACTAACATTATAGATATGAGATAAAACTGTCTACAACTCTAGATTTTATTTATTTTTAATTTTTAAAATTTTACTTATTACTATGTGTGTGATGTGCACATGCCATGGCAAATGTGTGGAGGTCACAGCACAACTATGTGGAGCTGGTTGTCTCCTTTCACCTTTACATGGGTTGACGATCAAACTCAGGTCATCAGGCAAGCACTGTACCTGCCGAGTCACCTCACTGGCCCAACTCTAGATTTTAAAGATAACACATCTGCGGGGGGGGGGGGGGCCGGGAGAGAGGGCCACACGGT